GCTGAAGAAAAAGTTCTGGAGAAAAAGGCAATGGGTGCCTTGGAACCATTTGATAGTCTATGACTCAAAACAGCCCCTATGCCAAAAGGAGAAGCGTCTGCAGCCAGAACTAAAGGTAGCTGTTGATTGAACTGTATTAGTACCGCGTTGGATGTGAGCAAGGATTTGACAGAATGGAAGGCATGGGCTTCCCTTGGTCCCCAATGCCAGGGGGATTGTTTGTCCAAAAGTCTGTGCAGAGGCTCTGCAGTGGAAGCTTTGTGAGGGAGGAATGCAGTGTAGAAGTTGAGAAGCCCTAAGAAGGCCTGGAGCTCAGTCTTGTTGGAAGGTGTGGGTGCTTTGTGGATAGCCCTGACTTTGGACTCAATTGGGTGTATACCAGAGGCATCAATTCTATAACCTAAAAAGTCTACTTGCTTAGTGGCAATGGTGCACTTGTCTTTTTTAAGTTTGAGGCCATGCTGTCTGAAACGATCAAGGACTGCTCTGACTCTTTGTAGTAGTTGGGGTTTGTCACTGGCTGAAACTAAAATATCATCGAAATAGGGGACTACGCCTGGGAGTCCTTGGAGAAGCCTCTCCATTAGAGATTGGAAAATCCCAGGGGCTACACTTACGCCAAACTGGAGGCGCCTGCATTTAAAAGCGCCCCTGTGGGTGACTATGGTCTGTAGTTCTGCAGTCTGGTCATCTACAGGGAACTGTTAATAGGCCTGTGACATGTCTAGTTTTGCAAAAATAGTCCCAGGCTCAAAGGAATGCAGAAGGTGCTGGATGACAGGGACCGGATAGGCGCTGATTTGCAGATATCTATTCAGGGATGTCTTGTAATCAGTGCAGATTTTCACGCTGCCATCTTTTTTAAGTGGGGTGACTATGGGGGTCTCCCACTTCGCAAAGTCTACAGGCTCCAATACCCCTTGTTTGAGTAATTTATCCAGTTCCATATCCAATTTTGGGCGGATAGCAAAGGGTACCCTACGAGGTTTCAGGATGGGTATTGCCTCAGGATCTACACTGAATGAAATAGGGATGCC